CAACATTTGATAGATAAAAACTAGATTTCTGTATTATTTGCTGATAATATTACAAATTCAAGACCTTAAAGGTTTACAAAAGGTCATGCACCAACAGTTTTGAGCAGAGGGCTCCTCTTATTATGCAAATCAAAATGATTAAACAAAAGACTTTATCAAAACCATTTAGTCACATACTTAGATTTTGGCTTCTTGACTCTCGTTAGTCTTCTCGCCGGTCGAGAGTTTCAAATTCGCGTTTGCATTACGAGTCTAATACAATCCGCTATTAGAAAATGAGTCAGTCATTGTTGTTGTATCTGCATCTGCAAGCTTGTGGAGCAAATCCACAACATCGTGAGATGAGTCAATGACATAGCGAGCTTTTGTGTGCGATTGTCCAATGGCTGCAGAGAAATTCTCTTTCTCGAGGCCAAGAACCTTCAGTGAAACCTTCTTCCTCTTTAGAGAGTGATTACTTGAGCAAGACTTTGACCTAGTTTCATGAGATAACTTGGACGACAAGATTTCTTATTCGAAGAATGTGTAAATGTCTTCGTCCTGTAACATATATCATCGACCCATTTGCATCAAAAACCCAACTGGACAAAATCTAAATTCTGATTAGCATTTACGTAATGATAATATAAGCTTTACCTTCTCCAAAAAGTAACCACTGCAAAAGACAAAATCAATCGGTGTATTCATTGATTTTCTATGCACTATTTCTCCCAAAATACGACCAATTGCTGCCCCCTAAGAACCAAAGAAAGAACAAATATAGAAGTTATAAAAACCAATTTGCATTAATATATTCTTGTATTGGATCTTGTATAAGAACTGTGAAGATGGCAAGAAATGATATTACTTAGGTTATCAAAAAAAAAAAGAAATGATAAAACATTATATTTACCTTAGTCTCACCCATCGCATGGATTTCAACAGAATGGTTTCCTCGAACAACATCTACTGATGCATTAGAGATAATTGGTCCTGCCCATAAGTATTGTAACATGTCTCTTGCTTGTGCTTTCCCAAATTCAGCATCTTAC